CACCCCCGGGCACTACAAGTGTAATGTAAGTCGATACTCGTATTTCCAGTGTTTAGGTGTAGAAATCTTTATTATTACAGCTTAAACTATTTTGTTATTATCTGGAATATATATAGTAAGTACCTAAAAAAAGTGAAAACAAAAAATCTGAAAAAATTCTTAGTTTTTATAGATTAAATTTACTATTTCCAATAAGCGAAATATTTCGCTACATTTCAAACCGTCCATATTGACAAATCTGCCAACTCAATATAATTCTATTTAATAAAAATGTTTAAAAAATAAAATGTACTCTTCAGAAATTCTATTTGCGGAATATTAGCTGATTTAAAGTTTATTAAAGTGACACAAATATTACTTACTTTTAGTTAAAATATCGCAGAAAAGCATTTGTTTAACACGGAGGGGGGTGTTCGTATGAGTTGTTGAGAACTGTCTCGATAGACTTATGTTTGGGAATCTTTTCTAAACATTTTAACAAAGAGGTGAGTGTTTTTGTGAAGTGTTGAGAGATCTATTGACAGCCTGATATTTGGTAAATTTAAATAAGGAGTTCGTTACTGTAAAAATGATATGATGAATACAACGCAAATGCCGCACACACACACACACACACACACACACACACACACACACACACATACATACATATATATATATATATATATATATATATATATATATATATATATATATATATTCATGAAAATGAAGATCTGATGAATTAGGACCAAAATCCCGGTCCTAAGGAAATAAATTATAATTCCATGAATCCTTAAAGTTGTCTGTTTCTTAATATAATTAATATTTGCTCTGTTTTTGCATTGAGCTCCCTGGATTACATTCTCCTTGGGTTATCCATACAGTTTACCAAATAACTTCATTAACTAACTAACTATATATATATATATATATATATATATATATATATATATATATATATATATATATATAAACTAGATTTAAGAAAATATTCTAAGCAATCTAAGGTTTTATTAAATTTTAGTTACTTTGGCTTTGTAGACTTTGTAGGCACTTGTTGAGGAAATGTTAGAAAATCACAAAAAAAAATAAATTTACTAGAGTTGTTGCTTGTACGTAGATGAGGACGTCCCCGAAAATGCACGTTCGTTTCTTCGGTCGACTGATGATTGAAAAGAGAGCATTGATTGATAGAGTGATCGATTTATTCATTTTCTACGGCTTATCAGCCCTTTTCAGGTTATTTAAAACCAGAAAATATCAGTTTAGATTGTAAGAATTCTTCTTTTGGAGATAATAATGGTCTAATGATACAAGTCTTACTAATTAATCTATAGCTGGGGGAGAGAAGAGGTGGATTCATACGATTCCCAAGGCTATTTGTAATGCGTAAGCATCACATACTTTTAATTGGAAAAGTTCCAAATTTAATGCCACTGGAAATATCGATGATGCTACTTCACAACATTAATGTTGGAAAGAGACACAGATTCAACTTTATATTTTATCAAATCTTCGTCTAACATACATGAAACGATATCAAAAGCGTGAACATTGTGTTAAAATGCTTTATATGACGATTCTGTTATATTTTTTAAAACTGAAAACTCTTAGAATTACTTTTAAATTTTTATTTTTTTAAGATCTGTGTTTATTCCTTTCATTTGTTTCCATAATTTTGCTGGCGAAAAAAAAATGTTGGTACTAATGAAGTTGACTGGGCCGCTCGTAAAAAATAGACGAAAAAATTTGGTGTATTGGGTTTAATCATTTTTGTACATTAGTATTTATTAGACTTTCCTTTTTTCTTGGTTCTACAGAAAGATGCATGGATTGAACAAGCGAGCCACGATGAAGTTTTAAGGAAAATGAAAACAAAAAGGACGCTTATACTTAGAATCAGAAAGAGACAATTTCTAGGGTAAGAAAGAGGGCTTGAAGACTTTGGCACTTATAGGAGATATTGAAGGTAACAGGGACAGAGGAAAGCAGCGCTTAACATACCTAACGAGTTTAAAGCTATCATAGATAGGAAGTTATGGAGAGCTATGGTCGCCTACACCCTGAAGGAGTATGACACAAAGAAGAAGAAGATGAAGACCTTCTTCAAGACAATATGCTTTTCAGGATCGAAAAATATTTATTCTTCTCATTTTAGACACCTAGTACATAATGAAATAAGGACCAAATGCAGGCAAGCTAAAGAGGAATGGCTGAACGAAAAATTGTGCAGAAATAGAAAGACTGAGTACTAACAACAAAAGAGACATGCACAAACAAATAAGACAACTAACAGGACAGAAGACATGGGCGTCAATAGGCTGCCTAAAATCAAAGGATGGAACGCTCATATTAGAGAAGGAAAAATCTTCAACGCTGGAGCGAGTATACTGGAGAACTTGTCCACGACGAAAGGAAACAGCCAGCAATACACAGAACTACTGACCGATCTACAATTCCGAAAACCGAAGTAAAAGCCGCACTGGTCAAATTGAACAGAAACAAGGCAGCTGGGCCAGACGGAATTGTAACGGAAATGCTAACAACCTTAGATGACAAGATCACCGAAATAACAAATGAAATCCACAACAACGGGGATATACCGGTGGACCTCAGCAGATCTATTTTCATAAGAAACCAGGCGCAAACGAATGCGGACTCCACCGAACAATAAGCCTAATGAGCCACGTGACGAAACTAATCATTCATATTCTTATGAATAGAAAGAGCAGCAGAATCAGGCCAGAGATAGGACAAGAACAGTACGGGTTCGTTAAAGACACTGGAACAAGGAACGCAATATTCATGCTCAGAATGTTATCAGATGCAGAAGGACGTGTACCTATGTTTCATAGACTGCGCAAAAGCCTTCGACAAAGTACGCCACAGAGAACTGATGGAAATGCTCAGCAACCTTGATAAATTCGAGAAAGATATCAGAATAATCAAGAACCTATACTGGCAGCAAATAACATGCATACGCATAGGGATCGAGTTCAGTGGACATACAAAAATAGAAAGGGGCGTAAGGCAAGGATGCCTCTTTTCACCCGATCTGTTCAACCTATAAAGCGAGGCAATTCCGAGAGAATTGGAAACCCTACCGGGATTTAGCACTGGCGGCCACTATCTTAAGATACGCATAAAATACACAGATGACACAGTATTGACACAGAAAAGAAATTACAAAATCTCCTACAGAAGGTAGCAACAGAGAGTGAGAAGAAAGGACTAAGCATAAACTACAAGAAAACAGAATTCATGGTTATCAGTAAAGGGAAGAGCCCGAAATGTGATTTGCAGATCAGGAACACTAGAATCAAGCAAACGTGGAAGTTTAAATATTTGGGAAGCGTCTTGACAGAGGACGGTAAGTGCGACACTAAGGTCCGAAGACATGGCCAAGGACGTATTCCAAAAGCTGGGCAGAGTATTGCGAGACAGGAGGATTTCTTTGGTAACAAAGAAAAGAATACTGAGCTGTTACATGATATCTGTCTTTCTTTACGGCAGCGAATGTTGAACGATTTCCTCAAAGAAGAGATTCGAGGCAACGGAGATGTGGTTCTACAGAAGGATGCTAAGGATATCATGGAGTGAACGTAAGAGGTTGCAAACAAGGAGAAGACTTATAGTTAACATCAGGAAGAAGCAGTTGAAGTTTTTGGTACGCATAATGAGAAAGGAGGGCCTGGAGAATCTGATACTTACGGGTCAAATAGAAGGAAAGAGAGACAAGGGAAAACAACCCGTGACATACCTGGCGGGCTTAAGCAAGTGGTCTGGGGAAGAAAGGAACTTGTTGAGAGCTGCAAGGGATAAATGAAGGTTGGGAGCCATGATCACCTACGTCCTGAAAGGATATGGCACATAAAAAGAAAAAAAGAAGTAATGATGTAAAAATAATTTCAAACATGGCCTTTGTAAATAAAACAAATAACAAATAACTCTTTAAGAAGTCAGGCGATCGATTTGACATTGTATTTTTATTATGAGCATTATTATTAAAACGATAAAAAATCTGTATATTTCGAATTTGACTAATGTCGTGAGTATAGGGAGGTTCAATCATTGCTAATCTACAAGTATCCCCTACACACCAAAAAAAAAAAAAAATAAATAAAATAAAAAAATAAATAAATAAAAAAAATTACCTAATTTCTTCTTCTTCTTCTTCTTCTTCTTCTTCTTCTTCTTCTTCTTCTTCTTCTTCTTCTTCTTCTTCTTAAGACAATAGTGTTCATATTACAACTTTTTATAAAAGCAATTAAAAGCTTTTCTAATTAAGTAATGTCTTAGTTTTATTGTATTTTCATCTTATGATTTAGAACAGTAACCCGTGTTTCTGTTTGACAAAAAAGAAAAAAAGAAAAAAAAGAAGTTCTGTTAACTAATATAGACATTAATTGACACAGAATTTCTCTTAAATATTTTTACTAAGATTTTTACTTTTTTAAAAAAGAACATTTCTAAAATAATTATATACATTTGTGAATAAGTCCTGAAAGTTTCATTAAAATTGGATAATTACTTGATTTTTGCAAGAATTTCCAAAACAATATGTTTTTTCATCGAAAAAACAAAAAAACAAAAACAAAAACAAAAAACGCTAAAATGTCCTATACTAATCTTTGGTCTTGCCGCTGACGCAAGAAAAACAAAATTTTTAACAACAATTTGAACGTTCTAAAAAAGTTCAAAAATATAATCTAATAATAAAATGTCCTTTGGTCTTTCCTCTTAATAATAACATAAATATTTTGACGATAAAATATTTTTTATCATCATGATATACTAATTTTGAGCAAATTAGTGGAGGTAATTATATATATATATATATATATATATATATATATATATATATATATATATATATATATATATATCTATATTGTATTCATATTTTGCTACATAATACGTTAAGTGTATTTTTGGTCTGCAATGTTTGTAACTATGCCGTTAGTCGATTACTTTCAGCAAAATATTTTGAAGTGAAATCTGTTTTCCTCGCCAAGGTTTTATAGCGACAGAGAGAGAGAGAGAGAAAGAAAGTGAGAGAGAGAAAGTGAGTAATGAGAGAGAGAGTGAGAGAGAGTGAGAGAGAGAGAGACAATCCAAACGAGAGAGAAAAAGGGGGCGACAATCCGAATGAGAGAGAAAAAGGAGGAGACAATGAGAACGAGAGAGAGAGAGAGAGAGAGAGAGAGAGAGAGAGAGAGAGAGTATAATCCTAGCAATTATCAGCAAAATAATCATCATTATTTTAGTTAATAATGTGGTAAGTTACTAAGCGAAGATAAGATGTGGAACACCTAATTAGGATCGAACTCAATACTTAGTTGTAATTAACCTGGCGAGACAAACTTGCTAGCCATTACAAACATGTCATCATGCCTTAGCGTTCTACTAAGCATAGCATAGATGTGGCGCAGGGCCGAAAGTATGGAGCACACAGTGAGGATCAAACTCATCAGTCATAATTAATCAAGCGAAACAAGTTTGCTAACCATTATACCATGTCGAAGTGCCCACTTTAGGTAATAATATGAACAGAAAAAAATGAATATTTCTGTAACCTGTTTTACGGCTTAACTAGCTACGTACTTTTCACAGGGCTTCTAGCCTCCGTTAAAGGTAAAATTTTGAACACTGATTTTAAAGTAAGTAGAGACAGAATCAGTTGGAATATTGATGCAAAAAGAGAGAAAGACAAAAGAAGAAGAGGAATAAAGAAAAAAGAGGAAAAACAGAGAAAGAGAGAAAATATAATGAGAAAGAAAGAGAGGGAGACAGAAAAAAGAAAGAGGAAGAAAAGAAAAAGCAAGTAGTAGTGAAAGAATAGAGATAAGGAGGGAATATAGTGTGAAAGAGAAAGAGTGGTAGAAAGGGAGAGAAGATGAAAGCGAGAAGGAATAAGAAACAAGTAGCAAGAGAGAATGATCGAGAAAGAGAAAGCACTTGTGTGTGTATGTATGTGTGTGTGTGTGTGTGTGTGTGTGTGTGTGTGTGTGTGTGTGAGAGAGAGAGAGAGAGAGAGAGATTATTCGTATTCTAATGACATTTATGAAATAGCAATCAACCTTCATCCAATTTTTTAATAAACAATTTTTTGTGAAAAAAAAAGTTTTCTTTTCACTATTTCATAATTTGCTGACTCATCACTCACCACCTGACAAAAACATTTGCACCGGAACGCTGGCAAAAAAAAAAGAAAAAAAAGAAAAAAGAAAACAGAAAAAGAAAAAAAAATGACCAAGGTGAATATCAATCAGGAATCACAGCATGGAATTATTGCTTGCAACACCAAGAGAAATTTATATAAAAAAGACAATGAAAGGGATAAGAGATGATGATGATGATGATGATGATGAGGAGAAGGAGGAGGAGGAGGAGGAGGTCGGTTCAAGTGTCATTCAATTCCTACTGATACTGGTGGATAGACAATCTCCATTTGTCATATGTTGACCTCTCTATTGAAAGCACTCTAAGAAATAAAGTCAATTATTTCAGAAACACCAAATAAACAATGCGTGTTCTAAAAATAAAAGTATAGAGGCGTTATTTTTAATTAAAATAACAGAGACAACTCATCTTGTTTTATGTTCAGTGTCCATTCAGGGCGTGGGCTAATATAGCTCTCCACTACTTCTTATCCTTTGTAGGTCTTAGCAAAATTTGTTCCCATACTATCACTCCAAACCCCTGTTCTGTGATTTACTCAAGTTCGTTAGGAAGGTTACTTGTTTTTTTCTGTCTCAATTTCCTTCAATATATCATGTAACTATCAAATTCTCTACGTCCTCTTTCCTCGTTATGTGTCCAAGTAATTCCAGCTGTCTTTAAGTATAAGTCTCCTTTTGGTTTACATTTTCCTTAAACCTTCCTCGTTGCCCACGTGCTACCGCCATGGCATTGCCAGCATCCTACTGCAAGATCACATCTCTGTTACCCCCTCTTCATCTCTGAGTAAACTGTCCAGCATTCATAGCTATATAGGAGAACTGATATTACACAGGCGTTCGGCAATCTTTTTAACATCTCTCTATATTTCTGAGATGAGATATAATAAATACTTACACTATTTATATCATTCGGACTGTTGTTCTCATCTTTATTAACATATTTACAAAGTTTCAGCCCAGTGGATAAAAGGGTTGGTTGAAATAATCCAAAAGTCACTTAACCTATATATATATATATATATATATATATATATATATATATATATATATAATTGCTTATATATATATAATATATATTTAAATGCTTTATATATAATATATATATTTAATCGCTTTATATATAATATATATGATATACATTTAGTTGCTTTTATATATAATTGCTTATATATATATATAATTGTGTATATACATAATTTAATTGCTTATATATATATATATATATATATATATATATATATATATATATATATATCAAAATAAAAAGAAAGAACAGTCAAGTATATAATGCACAGTTCTTTAGCATTTAGTTTTAAAACCAGTGCTCGATACACAGTAGTATATAATATTTTAATATTATTATTTAAAAATATGTATTCATCGCGACACAGAAATTACCATGTTTCGGAACTAAAAATTAAACTTTAAATTAAGATTAAAGATTTTGTTCCATTCTCCAGCGATGTTTATTAACTTTTCGAAACAGTTTTACACATGGCGTAATTCATGCAATACATGTCCATTTGAATTTGAAATGAACAGTTCCAAAAATACAAGTATATAGCCTATAAAATCTTGTCCGTCCTACTGACAAAATTCATTTCTTAATAATGACTGCACCTGTCGAAACTAGTCAAACAAAAACAGAACAAAAACGTGAAGTTTAGACAGTTTATCCACAATTCTGGTTTGTATTTACAATGTATTTGAATTTATTTTTAATCATTTCACCCAATCAAGGCGATAATGCCACAAGGGCGCATGGCGTTACTGGTAGTGTAAGAGAATGAGAAAAGTTTCACGAAGAGAACAAACTTCAGGAAGACAGAAGATGGTAGTTGTATTTAAATTTTTGAACATTGTAGGTGGCACGATGGCAATAAAGCAAAAGAGAGTTCCATAGATATTAAATGCAAAAAAAGAAACTATTAGAATAGAAATTTTACAGTTGCATCTATCTAGTTTAACAAAAAAATGGTAAGACCTAGTTGCCAATTTAGTAGCACAATTAAATTCACTCAGTCGATGCACCAAAGGAGGAAAGCTTACTTACTATGAAAATATTTGCAGAAAAGGCAGAAGGAAGCCACGTCACTTTCATTGAAAAATAGACTGAAGTTGAGATGACAGGTCAGGATCGATTGCAGAACCTTATATTATACAAATTAAACAGGAAGACATTGTCGGTTTAATTTGCCAAAAAAGTGTCAATATATATATATATATATATATATATATATATGTGTGTGTGTGTGTGTGTGTGTGTGTGTGTGTGTGTGTGTAAAAATATATAGAAAATAGGATAGAACTCGTCAGGTAAATAATTCAAAGTTCTTTAGTATTTTTGTTATTATTTTTAAAAAATAGCGCTCGATACAAAAGTAGAGCATAAATATAATTATTTATTTAAAAATATGATTCCAATGCTACATAAAAGTTCTCATGTTTCAAAACAAGTGCCGAAAGCTTCAATATAATTATTTGAATTAAAGTACTAAGCTCTGTTCCATCTTCAAGCGAAATTTAGTACTTTAATTCAATTTAATTCAAATAATTATATTGAAGTTTTCGGCTCTTGTTTCGAAACATGAGAACTCTTATGTAGCGTTGTAATCATATTTTTAAATAAATAATTATATATATATATATAGATAGATAGATAGATTTGTTTTATTCCAATGTTTTTCTTTATTTTTATAATCGAAAATCGATTGTCTTATAGTTTACGTGTATGATTAAAAAGAAAATAAGCATAAAAATGTCTCTTTAAAAATGAATTGTTTTCATCTGTTTGGCGCGAACATTCGTACAATCTTTTCTTGCTGTTTAAGGATTAATGTTATACAACAATTAGAAGAATTAAGAATGAGTTAGCAATAAAATTAATTAGAAAGGTAGATATATAAACTCTCTATGCGTGGATTTGTTTTTGACAGTGCAAGCCGCCAGTCTGGTTACGCGAAAACGGGTTAGGTATTTGGTCTTTATGTTTCCTATTGTCAAAAATACTGCTTCGCATAAGCATATGGTGGGATATGGTTACCGAACGTTCAGGGCAATTTGTACCAGTTTTGGGCACATATTACTTTTGTGCATTCAACACGTGCAAAGTCTTTTATATCATTTTCTTTCTTTCTTCTTACAAATAGCAGAAATATTTGACAATAAATTTCACTTTTATGCAAGTTTAGGTTTGTTTTTTCCCCGTTAGGTGTCGATTTAAGTTATACATAAACTACATCTAACTGAAAGCAAAATCTGGGAAATATTTTATTGAATTTTAGGTACTTTGGTTTTATAGTCTTACTCACGAAGCTAGAAAATTTTTAATAAATTGTAAATTTAGTAGTTTCTTCTCTTATTTTTTGATAATGTGAATGGACGTCCGTATTTACAAAAATCGCCAATAAAAATTCAAAATTCTTTTAAAAATATTAGAGGTCGCTGAATTGTAGTAAGCTTTTCCATTTATAATTAGTAAATACAATTTTTATTTAATTAAAAAAAATCACTTGACAGCTACAAATTCATACAGAATTTTAAAAGATAAAAACTATGAATTAATATAATTAAAATTTTTAAAAATAAAAACAATTCTTGTACATATTCAATATTCATCGAAAAAAATTTCTTAAGATAATAGTGTCCATTTTATTCATAAAAGCAATTAAAAGCTTTTCTAATTAAATAATATCTTAGTTTTATTGCATTTTTTATTTTACGATTCAGAACAGATTTTCTTTAACTGGGAGTCTTGTTTGATTAAGAAAAAAAAATGATGATTTAAATTCTCCTAGGACTTGTGCTTATATCTAATATAAACATTAAGAGCCACAGAAAAAAAATTACATGTGTGGAATAACAAATGTCAAAAATATTTTTACCATGATTTTTTAAAAAGGATAATGTTCAAAAATAATTTCATTCATTTGTGAATAAGTTGTGAAGGTATTCATTAAAATCCAACAATTTTCTGATTTTTGCAAGAATAATTCATCGCAAAAAAACGCTCAAATTTTCCGTACTAATTTATGGTCTCTCGTTGGCGTCAGAGAAACAAGATCTTTAACCAAAATTTCGAATGTTCTAAGGAGGATTAAAAAAAAAATTCCCATAAAAATCCTTTGGTCTTTCTCTTAATAAAAACGCAAAGATAATATGATAAAACTTTCTTAAGTTTTGGGACATTTTATTCGTCATGTATGCTTATTTTTAGCGAATATTTGAAGGTGCCAAATTTTCAGATGTTAGATTCCGAACACTTTATTGTACCCATGCATATGCAGTCACGCACGTTCCTACAGAATTGTCCCTTCCCATCCGCGAATTTAACCAACGGCGGTTAGAAAAAATCTCTATCTATAAAAGGCAGGATGTGTGTGTGTGTGTGTGTGTGTGTGTGTGTGTGTGTGTGTGTGTGTGTGTGTGTGTAACGAATGCACGGCCGCAACTTTCGACGGATTTGCACCAAAATTTACATGCACATGCTCCAAGTTAGCATGAAAGGTCAAGACCGACTTTGCATTTCTCAACTCCCATCGATAGTGGAAATAATCGATTTTTTCATGCTTCTACGGCAGTTTTCATGTAGTTTGCGGCCAATTGGCTCATTCGCTTGCTTAAATTCAACGTTGATTCTGATTCCGCAGAACTAGGTTGGGTGTGAAAAAGTATTTGTTGTTAACATTCTTTTTTCATTCGGTTCGGTTACGAGTCCTTTTTTTAAAGCTGATCGTTTTGTGTTCATTTTGTTTAGTTCTTTTTTCGTAACAGATTTAATGTTTAGTATAGAGCTTAGAAAAAATTCGCAGTGTGAGATAGGCAAGAAGTAAGGCATGTAGCAACATCAGCACGGCAAAGAGCACTCCTTTAAAGGCAAGGAAGGGCAAAAATATTTTAAGTCAAGTGATAGCGATTGCTGTATAAGTCGTACGATTTTTGAATCAAGCACGGGCAACGCCGGGCCATGCTGCTAGTATATCTATAAAAGAACATTCAGAAATCTTATGAAAAGCAAAAATTTAATTTGCCCTTCTCCGAACACCACGCCGAATTTATGCAAACGAAGTAATGTGTAGACAAACCTTGCTATAACATCCAGCGATTCCGCAGATCCTCAGTTTCTCTCTAACAGTCGTTGTTTGAGTTGTTGTTGCTTGTTTGTTTAGCGGCATATCAACATCTCATGGGTCATTGAATCCCGAAATTTTATTTTCTTGGAAGCATTACTAATTTCTTTTACAAAAATGTTTTGCTAGTAATTTTTTACAATAAAAATCTAATGCCGATAATACTTAAAAAAAAAATGTATTGCTGAAAATACTTTCTTTTTTTTTCAAAAATGTATTTCTGTTATTATTTTTTTATGCATTGTGGGTATTTTTTTTTTTTTTTCAATAATATATTGCTGGTAATTCTTTTACGATGAAAATGTATTGCTGGTATTTTTAATATAAAATATATATTTTATGTTTTCATAGTGTTTTGGTCCCAGTTTGGAGGTTAACTATTTGTCCATAGTTGGGACCCTTACAGGTGCTACCCCGTTTCATGCTAGACCTGGGTAAAAAAGCAATTAAGAGGCGGTTCCACGCTCCTCAAAACCTACCGATCAGAGGCCTTGCTGCCGGATGTAGTTTATCGTCATGCCCAGGACGACGTTGTTTGAGCATGCGTTGTTTAAGCAATATGTGCCCCAATAAGAACGAGTATTGCGTGTCTTCCGATTGTTACTTGCGTAAACCCTTTGTTTTTGTTTTTCTTTAAAACTTGGAATAGAAGCTTATTTTAAAGACATTTCGTCCAATATTAAATAAGCGCTGAAACTTTTATCGAAATTCAACGATTAGTTGATTCTTGGTAGCTTTTTAAATTCAAAGCGCTTTTTAAATTCAAAGCGCTTTTCAAATTCAAAGCGCTTTTTAAATTCAAAGCGCTTTTTAAATTCAAAACGCTTTTCAAATACAAAGCGCTTTTCAACTAAAAAAAAAATTCTAATACAAGATATTACATCTTTTTTTTACTTTTTCACACTACCACATTTTATAATTACCTCTGGTTCTATTAACTATGTATAAAAAATGTATATATTGGAATTTTCACTAAGCCACTTGGGGTTACTGAGTTTAAAATAATAAGAATAAAGAGAAATATTAGAGAGTGAGAGCAATAGAAGACAGTAGATAACGATTGACACTGCATTTCAATTTTTGAGGATATATATATATGCATAGAAAATGTCGTTTACGCCTAACAAAACACGTCGACCAGCAAATTACTTGAGGTTAATTTAAGGCGAACAAATTTTTGCAAATATATTATTATTATTATTATTATTATTATTATTATTATTATTATTATTATTATTATTAAAACTAGGATAACAATAGTTAATAGATAAATAATTTTTATATCGATGTCTATCTATATATGTATGTATATTATCATATATAATAAAATAAAATAATTGACTTCATTACACGTTTCATGGATGCCTTTTTAAAATGTCTTATATTCGGCGGATTTCTAAGTAAATTTCATCGTGAATTAAAGTTATTTATGTACAGATGGTATTTATATATATTTTTTTTTTCTTAGTTAAAAATCTTTTTATAACAGCGTAAGATTTTTTTTTAAATTCCATGAATGAGGTAAGATTAATGTTTAAGATAAAAAAAATGGCCAATGGGCAGTAATGGGTTATGTAGAAACCTATAATTAATACCAGATTGTTTTAATAAACTCATAAGTAAAACCGGATTTTTCTCTATTCATGTAAGTAATATTGGATTTCTGCTTTAATTTTGGTAAATAATGCCGGATTTTACGGTGGATATTCATACGTTATTATTATCAGTATTTTATGCCTTTTTGGTATACCATATACACATCAAAGTCGATATATCATTTCTTTTCTCGTACATTACCGTACATATGTAGGAATCAAGTACCTTTTTATTACTATTTATGTCTACATAAAAGTGACAATCTTGCATTTAGACAGAAATGCTGTACATATAACAATATAAAAATCATTATTCCAATATTATTTTAAAGACGAATACAATATATATTTACATCCATATTCATTTATATATTTAAATATAAATATTACTATATACATGTTATATATATATATATAAAACATGTATATATATATATTCGCTCATAGTGTATAGTGTGAAAATATATATATATATATATATATATATATATATATATATATATATATATATATATATATATATATATATATATATATATATATATATATATATATATATATGCTTTTATTCACACGCTCGTATACACAATCTCACATGTAAATGTGTCTGCGTGGATTAAGGAAGTTGGTGAAGGCAAGCCGAATGGCGTCAAGGCTCTCAGATTTCAAAGGAATGGCAAAGAATTCGGTTTCCATGTCCGCATTCTGATTTCTCAAGGAAGAGAAGTACAGATTCTATTATGTGAAATCACGGGAGTTTCTATTGGCGTTTATCCACAGAAAGAAAAAGAAAAGGAAAGAAAAGAAAAAGAGAGAAAACATCGATGATAATGGCGAGGTGGAGGTGGACAGGGGAAATAGGAAGAGGAAAATAGTATTCAGATGAATTACAAGAAGATGGAAATAAAAAGAAAAAAATGGGGAAGTAGTCGTTGTTGGGAGAGGAGAAGTCGATGTAGGAGATAGCGAAGAGAAAAAAGAAGAATAAGAAGGAGAATTAAATAAAAAAAAGGAAGGATGAAACCAAAACTTGAGAAAAGTCGAGAATGAGAACAAAGAGGAAGAAGGAAAACATGAGAGAAGAAAATGAAGAGAAGAGAGAAAAACAAGAACAAAAGAGAAAATAAGCGATCTTGAAGGCAGAAGAAGAAGAAGAAGAAGAAGAAGAAGAAGAAGAAGAAGAAGAAGAAGAATTATTCGAAGAATAAAAGTGGGCAACTCCAAAGTTCTGGCGCCAAGAGTTTCTTTTATAGTGCTTTTGTCAGCATCGCCTTTAAGAGCTTCTTCAATAAAAAGATTCCTAACTTCTTAACTTGAAAAGACCATTATTTAATTTCGTCACACATATCAATTGATCCCAGTCTAATAAATTCTTCCTGTTGTCTGAACACTCATTTATGATAGAGTGAAAGCGTGCCAATCTTAAATATTGAGTTCGTTCCCCAATGTGGATGCTCAGTAAATATAACCTTGTGTCTGACCCGACTTAGTTTATAGTAATCAATTACTGTACACTTCTAGGCATAGAAGCACCAATGATGTCGCAACGTTTGAAGTTTTCGTATCTCATTTAAGGAGTCGCTATGAGATATCATTTATTGTAGTTCGCTATAATAAATATTTTCAATAAGTCAGTACTTAAACTAGACCATATTCTGTACAAAGTTTCGGTATCACAGAACATAAAATGGTGATCTCTGATAAAAAAAATAGTATGGTGTATCAAAATTATTTTCTTTTTTTTTGGGGGGGGTTATATCTTAATGGTAAGTTCGATAGACCCGACAAAGTAAAACTGGCAACTGCTCCCGAAAATGACCTTCAGTTAGTTGTTAACTGGAACAAGGAATGGCTTGTAAATTTTAACACCTATAAAACGAAACTGCTATCTTTTAATAACGATAGATGACCTTTTTTTTTTTTTTTGACTCCCATCAGCATACTAACCTCCAGGAGAGCAACCCATTGCACCTTTTTAGTCTCACTTTTTCCACTGACATGAAGTGGAATGATTATATAGAATTAATTCGAAAATCTGCTGCTAGAAATTTTTTTTCTCTTCAGAATCCATCTTCTTACACATTTATAAATCTGCTATTAGACCTTGCATTGAAAATTGTTGCTATATCTGGCTTGGTTCTCCTGATATATATATATCAAGAGAATTCTGAACAAAATCCAAAGAGGCGTTTGTAATGTAACCGGTCCTTATCTAGCATCTCGACTTAAATCACTTCCCTACCACCGTGACCTAGCTTCCCTTCTTTATGTTCTATAAATATTTTAATGGTAATTGTTCTGGCGAGCTTTCCTCATTGGTACATCGACTGCATGAATTTAAGTGAAGTACTAGATTGGCAATTAGGTCTCATTATTTTAAGTTCTATTCTAATGGTTTTCTTTTCTCGCACTTCTCGCCTCCGGTTTCTTGTTTTTCTGCCGCCTACAAACTTCAAAACTATACATGCAACGCCAATCGTCATCTTCTGTCTTCCTGAACCATGTTATTTTATTGTCCGTTCTCCTCACTAAAGTCTTCTCATTTTTTATCCACTCCTAGAATCTCCATGCGTCTTAGTGGCTTGCGTGGAATGAAATGTTTAAAAAAAAATTATGCTGCACATATATCTTACGATGTTCGTAGCTATTTTAAAAGTTTCCGAGTGCATGACATTGGGTTTTCTTCGGATTTGATCGACAACTAATGGCTGTTGTTTTTGTTTTTATTTAGTGGCATATCAACACCTCTATGGGTTATTTACTGCCAAAATCTAAATATTTTGTATGCATTTTATGCCTTCAACTACAGATATTTTTTACATAATTTTATACTTTCAAGGAAATCGTATATTTTTTTTTTTAGATACATAATTTGTAGATGTATTGTGGGTAATTTAAAAAATATTCATTGCTGGTAATTTCATTACAAAAATGTATTATTAGTGTTTTGCTATAAATATGTATTGCTGGTAATTCTACTATAAAAATGTACAGTTGATTTTTGCTTGAGTGTTCACTATTTGCCCATAGCTAGGACCCTAACAGGTTTTACCACCCCGGGTCAAAGTGGACCTGGGAACAGCAGCAATTAAGAGGTAGTTCCACGCTCCTGAAAATTTTCAATCAGAGGTCTTCTTGCTGTAGTTTATCGCCATACCTAGGGAGGAAAACTAATGGTCGTCCATTTTGGGATATTATGCCAAGAGACAATTCACCACATTTAAAATGCTTAAACCAGTTTTGAGTAGAATAATCAGATATGCTTCCTTTCACTTCCAGAATTCTCCGGGTATGTACAGCGGCTTTGGGGATGAGCTAAACCATATTTTCATAATCTCAATACTTCTATGCGTCATTTCATCTGAAACAAAAAGTGCAATAGAATCGTAATAATAATAATAATAATAACAATAATATACTGTAAGAATTTATTCTTGCTGCACAGAATCAGAGTCTGCTTACACACAACTACCAAGCTAATATCTTGCATAATAGTATGAACCCAAAATGTAGGTTGTCTAATCAATTCATTGAAACTATTGATTACCTTATCCCAGGATGCTCAATACTCACATCCAATGGCCGTCCTGGGGAAGACGATAAACTACATCCGCGCCCTGGTTAAGACGATAAACAACATCCGCGTCCTGGGTATGACGATAAACTACATCCGCATCCTGGGTATGGCGATAAACTACATCCGCGTCCTGGGTAAGACTACATCCAACAGCTATGGGAAAATAGTTAACCCCCAAACTGGGGTCAAAAACACTATGAAAGTGTAAAATAGGTTTTAATAGCATAACAACTTTATAAATTTTTTTATATTATCAGTAATACATTTTAAAAAATATTACTGGCTATAGATTTTTTTAAAAAATATTTCCAGCGAAGGAAAAATATTACCAGAAATAGATTTTTTTAAGGAAAATTTTTTTACCAACAGTGAAAATTTTGTCGGCATTAAATAACCCATTGAGGTTGATATGCCGTAAAACAAACCAAACCAAACCACACCCAATGAGTACAAAAACCGTCATGACAGGGTAGGTCAATATCTGCATTAGAAAATCTGCCATCACTACGTGACAAAAACAGGTGCAAACTGGAAAGAACATCATCCTGAATCTGTAGTTGGGGGAGTAGATGTTACCATTTTCTAGGATTTTTCTATTAACACAGATCGAATAATACAAGCAAATCGCCCAGACAAAGACAGAAAAGAAAAAGATTAACATGAACAAACCAAGTGAAAAAAAAAAAAAAAAAAAAAAAAAAAAAAAAAAAAACATATCTACGAAAGTTTTTTTTAAAAACTCAGCAAATATAAACACCTGGAGATGAAAATAGAAAAAAATATTGAGCTTAAGAACTAAAGCTGTTGATGTCGTTAGAACTGTGGGACTGATTAAAAGAGAAATCAAGAACAAATCAAGAAAATCCCTGGGGCACCATCTCTCCAAGAAATAAAAAAAAAATTAGTTCTAACAAGCACAAATCGTATCCTGCGAAAATCTTTGTTCATATTATTTTTTTAACGGCTATCTTTTGTTTAATTAAGTGGAAACAACAAAACATCACATTCTTCACTTATCCTAGGTCATTGGTTATGACCCAGCATGTGACTATAAAACAAATACAGGCCCAAAAAGCAGTTTGTTATAATAAAAATAATATGGGTGACTTTGTTTCTCTCTTTTCTAAAGAGAGAAACAGAGTAACACATAACTGCAGCACAGGAGCTGGTCATCAGAATGAATGCAATAAATGCTAGTATAGACACATCACAAAACGAAAGCAAATGTAGGATGTGTAGACAAGTTAGATAGTTAACCACATACTCAGTGAATGTCCTAAGTTGGCACAGAAAAACCCACAAGCTTCACTCGAAGTATTTTAACCATTGATCTTAGAAAGGCGGTTATACACAGCTGACAGTTTTGATATTTCTGAACGGCTTTGGCACCATGTATGACATCCATGTGAAAATTTCGGTCTGACGAGACTATTTAACCTTTATCACTGTATGGCTACATTTGCTGAACAACAAGATTATCCTGCCACTGAAGGTGACTATGAACCTTGAACAATAGTTTGTTTGAATTTTATACTTGTGTTGTCATATCCTGCTATGCCAACAGAAAACAACTTTAAGTGAAGTTAACAATAAGAATACTGCAATTGAGAGGAATTGAAAAAGAATGCAGTGGAAATTGAAGTGATATTAATAATAAGAGATGATATGATTAGATTGGTTGGAGAATCCATTGGGAAGTATGCTCTAAATTTGGCTTCAGGACAAAAGAGAAGTGGTATGAACATCAAGCAGTGGCAGTGGTAGAAAATGACTGTTGCAAGATATTATGGGGTGTCTCAATTCAGACAGTTCATGTCAGGGAAGCACGGAGACCCGACCATATTGTTATAGAGAAGAAGAATAGCAAGTGTCAAATTATTGACTTTGCTGTTCCATATGATACAAGAGTGGACTATAAAGAAATTGAAAGATTGAAAAAATATTAGGATCTGGCTAGGGAGCTGGAGAAGCTTTGGGACATGAATGTAAAACTAATTCTTGTACTAAACTGAAAAGCGATTAGGGAGAATTGGAACTTAGACTAAGATTTTAGAAAGCTCCAAAAATTGTCATCGTTTACTCTGCAATGTATCTTTGAAAAGTTTTCGAGTTGTGAGAAGTGATGTTGTTACCATGTCTTAAGAAAAAGAATATTCTATTTGAATATGTCAAAGTGCGATACCAACATTATACTCCTAATAATAAAACCAACGAAAAACTTATAAGACAATAATTCGGACAGAAGCTGATATGACATGAAGAGGATTTCCCCCCTGATCGCTACAATCTTAACCTGTTCAAGGCTTGGGTTAACAGTTACAAAATTGTGTATAGCATAAACTATAAAAAAATAACAACTGATATTACAACCATTAACCATAGCATCAAACAACCAACTCTTGGTTTATAGTTAGTAAGGGCTTGAACTACGTATACAAGATATATGAATGTCTGGTGTGAAAAGACTTCAAACGGTTCCTGTGTTTCGTAAGGATATTGAGACGGAATTTGGAACTGACAAATGTACCAACCGACGAAAAAAAAAGAGTTGCGTTTAAGAGTAGGAAACAGAAAAACGTGCTTAGGGAGAATTGGAATTGTGACCAAGATTATAGAGCTCCAGAAAACTGCCATCATTTACTCTGCGAGAATTCTACGAAATATTCTTGGGTTGTAAGGAGTCATTCTGACATCATGCCACAAGAACAGAATTTCAATTAACTACGTTACGTGAGACACCAACATAATAATGGAATCATAGATCATCATGTAATGGTAGTATTAGCCGTTTCTTTATAAGGAAACATTTGGCATTCATTAACCGAGCAGCCAGTATTACTGTCGGTTGAAATTTCGAAAATTCTTCTCTTGAAAAAAATTAGAGTAAAATGTATTACTCAAGCTCAGTAGTTGTTATTGCTCTTTCCAGTATTGATGAGATTTTCCTTCCTAACCTTTTATTTCAATTAGTGTGGAATGTCAACATCTTGATT